ACCGATCCGATCAACCAGGGGACCAGCCCCGACCGCGGGATCGGAAGCGATCCTGGTAGCGTTGGGCGAGCGGGGCAGCCCCATGGACCACCCAGCCGTCGCTCCCAGGGAAGGTCGATTACGATCGATCATTTCCGTAGAAGAGTGCGCCTCCCTGTGACCACTGTCCTCGGGATCACCCGTCTCTCGCTCTCTTCCTCCTGGCTGAAGGCCAGTCTCTAGAGCGAGGTTTGCTGCGCGGGGGCTGGGCGCGACTTTGGCGTCGGCACCCGCACCTCCAGGGAGAGGGCCGTCGGGGGCCCCAGGAGGGGCAGGGCCCTCTCCACTCGTGCTCGCGGGCTCAGCGCTTCGATCTAAGTCCATGGGATCACAGGTTGCTGCGGGGGCTGAAGGCCCGTCTTCTATGTCCGCTCAGCTGCCTCCCAATGCGCCTTGGCCTCTCAAGCCGATGGCTCGTTCGGAGCGAGCACCTCGAGCTGCGGGCTCGCCGATTCCCCGACTGTCCGACTGGGGGGCGGGTGTCCGACGAAAGTCTTCGGAGTTCCAGGAGCGCCCAGGGAGTTGACTGCTCGACGCATCGCCCTCGGCTCCGCGCGGTCCACTTGGGGGCCCCAGGCTGCGGGGTAGGTCGGGGATGCCTCTCTGGGAGCTCCCCGGGCTGATGGCCCGTTGCCTGCATGTGCGATGCTGTCAAACCCAGGGAGGGCGTCGGGCGCGCAGCGACTCCCGTCGCCACTCGCGCCCGCCCGCCCAACAGCACTCCCGAGGACTGCAGGCGCCGTCTCCGCATCTCGAGCTGAAGGCCCATCACCTCTGAGGTCGCTGGATGTGCCTCGGGGTCTCGAGCCGAGGGCTCACTCTGATGCGATGCCGGACGCTCCAAGGGCTGAAGGCCCCTCATCTATATCCATTATGCTGCGTCCCGCTGCGCCTTGTACGCTCGAGCTGAAGGCTCGTTCAGTGGGAGACGCCCGAGCTGACGGCTCGTCGAGTCCGCGACAGTCCGATTGGGGGGCTGGCGGCTGACGAGTCTTCGGTGGACCAGGAGTGTCTAGGGGGTGGCCTGTTCGATGCATCGTCATCAGCGCCAGGCAGCCAGCTCGGGACGCCCCAGGCTGCGGGGTCAGTCAGCACAGCAGTCCCGTTAGGGGCTCCTCGGGCTGAAGGCCCGTTTTGTCGGTGCGCAGGGCTGCCGATTCCAGGGAGTGCTGCGGGCGCGGGGCGCTGCCCGTCGTGGCTCGAGGCCACATGCCCAAAAGCACTCTCGAGGACCGTGGAGCCACGAACTGAGGGTTCATCCGCCGTGTCGCGGGCCACTCCAAGGGCTGTAGGCACAACTACTGCGTCCATTCCGCTGCGTCCAGTTGCCCCTTGGGCCCTCGGGCTGACGGCTCGCTCAGCATGCGAATCCAGGGCTGCGGGTTCGCCGCGTCTGGGAATGTCCGACTGGGGGGCGGGCGGCCGACGAAAGTCGTCGGGATTTCGGGGGCATCCAGGGAGTTGGCGGGTCGTGTCGTCGACCTCAGCTCCGAGGCGGCCCCTCGGGGCATCCCCGGTTGTTGGGGCGATCAGTGCTGCTGCCTCGCAGGAAGCTCCTCGGGCTGAAGGCCCGTTTTCTGCCTGTCCGGCCCCGACAAATCCAGGGGCGGCGGCGGGCGAGGGGCACCTCCCTTCGCCGCTCGAGGCCACATGCCCGTCGGCACTCTCGACGACCCTTGGGGCCGTCTCCGATTCTCGAGCTGAAGGCTCGTCACCTCTGATGCGGCTGGGTGCGCCTTGGAGTCTCGAGCTGAAGGCCCGTTCTGCTGTGCCGAATGTGTCAGAAGTCGCTCCAACTGCTTGAGGCCCATCTTCTGTGTTCAACTCGCGGCTGAAGGCTGCCTCACTCGGCGCCGAAGCATCCAGGAGGGGAGGTTCGGCGGAGTGAGGGCGCAAGCCTCTGTGAAGCGAAACGGGGCCAAGGGCAGGCGTCTGCCTGTCTCCCCTCCCGACGCCCTCGCGAACACCCCCTGTGGAAGCCAGATCCCTAGTCCCCTCTTCCAAGTCGCAACGGCCCCTGGGTCGAACGCCGAGGGCATCCCTTTGCCTCTCGCCAGACTGCGGACCACGGGTGCCAGGATCCGAGCGCGGGTTCGCTTGTTCAAGAAGGGGGCCCTCGCCCCCCGCAATCCTGGCATCGCCGAGGGCGGTCCAGCTTTGCACAGCCCCCCCAGGAGAGAAGGAGATTGGGCGCCCAGCAATGGGCATGGGAAGGGTTGGGGTGAGAGAGGGGGGGGATAAGCTAGGCGGGAGGGCATCATGCCTGCCGTCATCCAATCCAGGGAAGCGACCGAAGGTCGCAATATCAATGTCCATCGCGGGGATGAACGCATCACCCCCTCCTCCAGTATCATGACTGCCGCTCTCAAATCCAGGGAAGCGACTGAAGGTCGCAATATCAGTGTGCATCGCGGGGTTGAACGCATCAACCCCTCCTCCCGTTTGGCTGATGGCCAACGGTTCTCGTGTGCAAGAGGCGTCGGCGGACGCGTTCCCATTCCAGGGAGCAGGGGGCGACGGCTGCCCTGGCGGGATGGCGTCCTGCGATCCAGGGTGAGGATGCCTTGGATCAGCCAGTCCGCAGGCCACGAAGTCGTCGACTGGTGCCGCGATCATCGTCGCCCCAGAGATGGCAGGACCATCGCCGATCGATCGCCCCTCCATGCTAAGCAGGAGGGCCGCTGCACGTAGCCGACGAAGATGAATCCAGGGAGTCTGCAATGGCGGCCCGGCCCCGGGGGAGACGCGCGGCACAAACGACTCCTAGGGGAAACCCCTTGAGCTGGGAGACCCGGCCGAGGGACCAGGGCCCAGAAACGGCTTGAGCCAGAGGCTACGGACTGGTGGGGATACGCGAAGCGTCTAGACTTCCTCGTCTGGCCTCCCTTTCCTCCACTGGCCTCCTCCTCTTCCTCTTCCTCCTCCTCCTCCTCCTCCTCCGCATCTTCCTCCTTTTCCCGGGAAGCACCGCGGCGCCAGCATCCGATGCCCCATCAAGCACCACGGCGCCAGCCACCGACGCTTCAGCGGCCCGCGCCCGAGCGGCCCGTCGCCCTGAGCAGGGGCCATCGCCTGCCGCTGCAGACATGAGCCCCCGAACGCCTCTGCTCCGTGCTCCGCGAGGTGCCTGCCGTCGCCGGCGCGCAGACAACGGGGCTGTCGAGGCCACCTCTGCCATTCCTCGTCGACCGTGGTTGATGATCTAGGAATGAAACCCTAGGTTCATTATCTTCAGATGATACCCTATGGATTATTGTCCTGTGATTGGATCGGGCTCAGCCCCCCCCGGCCGAATCATTATATTTTCCGAATAATCGACCTAAGTTTCATATCCCATCATTATGGACCAGGGTGTAGTTCAGTCCGAAACGTAGTCTCAAACGGCGCCCCCCAAACCTAATCATTATCATTCCGCAATAATATCCGATTTATTACCTCCTGGAGATAATAAACCGGGGTCCACATTCCGACATGAAAAACCTGGTGGGGAACCCAGGGGTTGGGGGGGAAATTGTAATTATTATCATTCCGGAATTACGACAACCACGGGATCATTATTCCCGGGATATTGTAAACCCAAGTCAATATACCCGGAACCTATGGGCCCAGGTCCATATGTTTTTGGGGTCGATATCCCCAGAACATTATAACCCAAGGTTTATACTGTTCCGGGGGGAACATTATGAACCCAAGTCAATATTCCCAGAGCATTGAAACCCAAGTACATGATGTTCCGGGGGAGACATTATGAACCCGGGTCAATAATCCTGGAACATTATAAACCCGGATTGATATCTATTTGGGATCCATCCTGGGGCTGTCAGGGCGAGGGGCCCTATATCGGCTGCCAGGCCCCACGCCTTCTGTGCGGGGCGTCTGCGTGGGGAAACCGCTCCCAAGAGGCACCCAGGAGGACCCAAGAGAGGCATCCAGGAGGGAAGGGTCAGGAGAGGCCTCCAGGAGGCCCCACGAGAGGCATCCAAGAGGCCTCTGGTCCATACGACCCAGGCATGGCGGCGGCATGGGCCAAAAGGCCAGGAAGGCCTTCGCACAAAAAAGAAAGAGCAACATGCTCTCGGACTCCCAAGTGCGGCGTGTCATTAACACTCTTTCCCCATCCCGAACGCCGACTCTGCCCCTCACGGCCCTGGGGTTGACAACGGAATTGCTCGAGCGCCACAAGAAGCTCTACAATGCAATGGCGGCCCCTCTCTTCCTTCTTGAGGAACACCTGCTGCACAAGCTTACGTGCAAAGCCTGTTCACATTCGCCTCTAATATGGGAGGAATCGCTCCCGCGGGAGGCCCAAACAGCAGTGGGCACCCAGCGTCGACGCAGCCATGCCATGACAGAGGTGTAAGTTGCACCTGGCGCATGTATTATGTAATGCCGATGCGCCGTCCAGTCGCCAGGCCTGCCTGCCTACCTAAGGGTTACCCAGTGACCCCGAACCTCGATCGACGATGACTTCTTGAGGCAGTGACCGATCACAGCGGGGAGGAGGCGGAGATGCAGAGGTCTCCAGCTCAGCCGGAGGCCTCCAAGGGAGTCGCCCGAAAGTCCTGATCCTCGAGCGTCGATCCTCAAATGTCGATCGACGACGACGACGCCGACGACGACGCCGACGCCGACGCCGACGCCCGACGCCCGACGCCCGACGCCGACGCTGACGCCGACGACGACGACGACGACGCTTTGAAGCTGTGACTGACCACAGTGGGGAGCTCGAGGTCGAAGCTTGCAAGCGGCCGGGGAGTCTGAGTTGGATGGGCCCCGAGCATTTCGGTCAAGATGTAGGGACGAGAGCAAATGCGCTCAAAAAGCGGTCCCTGGAGCCCAAGCCGTGTCCAGCCGGAGCGACGATGGGGGCTCCTGTCTCCCCTGTTCTGCTGGCCAGACCCAGTGCTGGGCCGCCTCAGCCCCCTAGCCAGCTCCAAGGCGGGGCTACCGCACGTTCAGGCCTTGTTGGAGTACAGGGAGTTCACGATGATGTCCATCACCTTGCCGACCTCGGCCTGGAACTCGTAGTTCTCCACGTCGCCTACGCGCGCGCGACAGACGGTGGAGGGCAGGGAGGAGGCAGGACGTGGAGGGGAACGAAGAGGGAGGGCGGACGGAGGAGGGCAAGGGGAGGAGAGGTCTCCTTGGGGGGAGGGGGAGATGGAAGAGCGGAGAGGAGGGGAGCAGGGGGGAGAAAGACGGGAGAAGGAGGGGACAGAACGGGGAGGGAGAGGAGGGTGGAGGAGGGGCAGGAAGGCGTGGGAAGGGAAAGGGGGGGAGAAGGAGCGACGCGGGGAGGAGGACGGCGAGGACGGGAGAGGAAGGGGTGCGGAGGGAATGAGGTGCACGGGGAGAGGGGGGAGGGAAAGGGGGAGGACCAAAGCTACAACAAGAAGCTAGAAGTAGGACTGGGATCCAGCACCGTTTCTGCGACATGTTAGAGCATGTCAGCCTGAATGCCCCTCTGGTGTCTGGTGGGGTCTCTGTGATGCTTCCAGGGCCGACCCCCAGCCCTCGCCGCAACCGTTCTCTGACCCCCCCCCCTTTTGATTCTGACATCCAGCGCCCCAGGGAGACTGAAAGCGAAAACGACGGCGGCGAAGAGCCCTGCTTGCGGTGGCGACTCCGCGACACATCCTCGCAAGCACGCCCCCCACCCACCCCTGGGGCGCGCTCGAGGCGCGACATCCCTTCCCACCCCCAGTCGCCTTGCGTGTCGAGCATTGGACCGCGCAGTGGTCTCGAAATCTCAAGAGACCTCTCACCGCACCGTCCGTCACCGCACGGTTTTGGACCCTCGGAGGCCCTGGTCGCCCAAGACGTCCACCGAAACGACCCGAGTCCCAAAACAGTGCGGTCACCCCGAATCCTCACTGACTCACCACACTGGCCCTCCTCAGAATGTTTGATTTCCGGGCCATACAATCCGCCGGCCCCCTTGCGGGGCCATCAGGCTGCGAAGATCAGGCTTGCAGCTCCCTGTGCCAGTTGCAGTTTCCAGTTTCCACTGTTAAAGTCCTGTTTTCTGCTTCCTTACTGTTACTTGTTGCTGAACGCGCGGGGGGGAGCCGAAAAGCGTCCTGTTCAGCGTCCCCGAATCGCGTTGTCTGAATTCCCGCGGGGTCGTGGGACACATACTAATTGATGGGATTCGCGTCCCCGAGGCCAAAATCCGTAACAAATTACACCATATTCGCTTCCCCGAGGCCTTAAACCTAAATTAACTAAGACTCGCGTCCCAGAAGTGATAGTCTCTCGTAAATACCACAATAGTCGCGAAACCATAACCCCTTGAAAGTTGTACAAAAGTCGCGTCCCCAGAGCCATAAACTCTTTACAGCTTATTGGAAATTCGCGCCCCCGAAGCCAGAAACCGTTTGATGATTATATAATATTCGCGTCCCTGGGCCATAAACCTTCGCAAATCACACCATACGTGCGTCCCGGAGGCCAGAAACCCTCCCAACTTATAGAAGATTCGCGTTTCTGACTCCATAAACCTTTTTAATGTATACAACATTTGCGCCCCCGAGGCCATGAGCACTCGTAAATTACACAATGTGTGCGTCCCCGAGGCCACAGACCTGTGTAAATTACCAATACTCGCGTCCCCGAAGCCATAAACCATCGCAAATTACCAAATATTCGTGCCACCGAAGCCATACCCTCGTAAATTAATATTGGCCCTCGCGTGAAGTGCCGACATTGCTTCACGTCAGCGTCCAGGCATCCCAACACAACTCTGGCAAGTCCCATTCCAAGAGAGGGGGGCCTGCGGCATGGGGGCGAAGCCCTCACGGATAAATGTGGTGCAACCTGTATGGTGCAGTATATGTAATGCAACATGTGTGGTGCAAACTATATGGTGCAATACATGCTGTGCGGTCTGTGTGATGAAGTCTATGTTGCACGATTTATGTGGTACAACATATGCGGTGCGACCTGTGTTTGTGTAGCAGATTTGTTGCGATCTGCTGTGGTGCAATAATTGTGTGACATACTCTAAGTGGTGCAGTATATGCGGTGCAATCGATGTGGTGCAATATACGCGGTTCCAGTATGCAAGGCCGCGACGAGGCGGCGACGGGGTGGCAACGGCGGCAACATAGGTGCCAGACCGACAATCAGGCTCAGACGACGGGCGGCGACGAGGCGACAACAGGGAGGCGGCGACAACATAGCCGCCAGGCCGACAATCAGGCCCAGACGACGGGGCGGCGAGGCGGCGACGGGGCGCCCGGCGACGGCGACGACATAGCCGCCACACCCAGAATCAGGCCCAGGTCCTCAGGAACCTACGAGTGCAAGCGCTGTTTGGGGAATCTCGAGAGGATCGATCGAGTCGAAGTTGGCCTGGAGGCGGGGGGGGGGGGGAAGGCGAAGGGGCCCCTGGAGGGGCCAAACAGGGGCGAGCGTGCCCAGAGGACTGGTGCCTCGACCACGGATCGAGGAGAAGGATGAGGAGGGAGGGAGGACGGGATGAGGGAGGGAGGGAGGGAGGGAGGGAGGGAGGGAGTGAGAAAGGGAGGGAAGAGGAGGAGGAGGCGGTGGAAGAGAGAGGAAGATAAGGAGGATCAGCAGCTGAAGTAGGAGGAAGTCGGCCCTGCATCGAGGAGAAGTGAGGAGGTGGGAGCAGGGAGGAGGGAGGAGGACAAGAAGGGAGGGAGGGGGCAGGAGGGAGGAGAGAAGAGGGAGGAGGACGCGGAGAGGAGGGAGATAGGAGGGAGATAGGATGAGGGAGGACGGAGAAGGATGATGAAGCAAGGACGGAGGAGGAGGAGGAGGAGGAGGAAGCGAAGGGAACACAAGGAGGATCAGCGACAGCAGGTGCACGAGCAGGATCTGGAGGAAAAATGTCCCTGACCCTCATTCACCTGCTCCGCTTCCTCCTCCACCACCTCTGGCTCATCCTCATCCCCCTCCATCTCATCATTCCCGTGATCCTCCCCCCCCCACCTCCTCGTATCTTCCCTCCTCAAAGCACGATGATCGAACATCGAAATGAAGGGCATTTGTTCGCCATAGTTGGGGCAGCGGGGCCTCTGCAATACGCCTGCTGCTGTTCCTCCTTATCCTCCTCCTGCTCCTAATCCTCATCCTCCTCCTCCTCCTCCTCCTCCTGCTCGTCCTCCTCATCCTTCTCTTCCCCTCCTCCTCCCCCTCCTCATCCTCCTCCTCCTTCACTTCCTCCTCCCCCTCCTCCTCATCCTCCTTCTCCTCCTCCTTCACCTCCTCCTCATCCTCCATCTTCTCCACCTCCTGACACGCCTGCTCCTACTCCCCTCCCCGCGATCAGTGCGATCCTTGCGTGGCCAAGCCAGCCTGCTCCCTCAGTTTCTCCTCCTCCTGCTACTCCCCCCTCCTCAGCGTCATCCTCCTCGCCTCTCCCTGCCTCCCCCTCCTCTTCCTGCCCCGACGGCGGTGACGAAAACAACGACACGGGCGACGGCACGTCGACGACGACGGCGGCGACGACAACATCGGCGACGGCGACGGCGGCGGCGACAGGCCGCGCCGTGCGGCACTGTGGCCTGTCGCCACCTCGGCCTCGGCAACCTCGGCGGCCCGCCGCAGGCTGAGGGGCTGCCTTCGCGGCGACTCCGTCGGACGCGCGGACGAAAGCGATGGCCAGCGATGCACGGCGATGGACGCCGACGGCGGCGTGACGGCGTCGACGACGGCAACAGATACCGCGAGCGCGACCGCGGCCAACACGACGAAGATCACCACTACCACGACGACCATGACCGAGCGGCGACAGGAAAGGGAGAGAGGCAGTGGGACGAAAGAAGAAGAAGAAAACAAGACGGAGGGCAAACACAACCAATCGGGGATGCACTGACCCGTGTCAATCCAGAAACGGGTCAGACGAGCCTCGAAGGATCCTGCTGGATCCTGCACCCAAGCTCGGGTCAGTGCGACCCTGGCCCTGCAGGATCCTGCAAAATCCGGCACTCTGACTGACCCCCGTTTGCGTTGACCCCCGTCTCTGAAGCCCCGAACCGACGTGAAGCCCGAACGGCCAGGGAAGGAAACAAGACGTATTAGGAGACAGGCAAACACCACGATCCTTACGTTAACGTCGACGTGGAAGAGAACCTCACCAGCCCTCTGGGCGCACGTTGCGTAACCGTTATTGTTTTCCACCTTCCAGAACCACTTCTTCCCCGACCTTTTTATCACTGTTTATGCACCCCCTCCCCCAGACGACCGGCATCCAACCAGGAACAATGCCGAATCACCCCCCAACCATCCCTTTCAGAAAGGAAAATCAAAGAACACTATGCCTTCAAATTGGGAGCATGTGCAACCAACCCGATGTGAGCCTTCCCCACCATCCCTGTCAAAAACCATACACCCTACACTGTGGGGCAAAATCTTGAGTAATGTTCGTCAGGCCCGCGAGCACTTTGCATTATTTGTTGACAGGGACGGCGGGGGTGTGAGCATATTGCCTGCTGCCCGCAGGGTCACCATCCAGGTCAATAACAATAGAAAATGCACCTCGCGGCAAAATGTGGACCATGCGCGGCCACCCCGCGATCACTGTCAGGTGGCTGTTGACAGGGACGACGGGGGTGGTGGCGTATGGCCTCCTGTGCGCAGGCCCACCAGACACAATGATGGGCATTTGATTTCGACAAGGGTGCCCGATCGCGTATAGGTGAAGACCTTCCTTTGGCCCCGAGCCTGGACCACTTGCCTCCATGGCCTTTGTAACCTCCGCCTTTACCCTGGACGTTCCCCTTAAAATGCTGCCCATTCGAAACATTTTCCACCTTTGCCTCCAATAGTTCCTGCGCTGCCGTTGCCTTCCTTTCTCCTGCAGTTCGCAGCAATGTGTCCAAAATAACCGCACGCGTTGCACTTGGGCACCTTTCCTTCTTTACCTGAGCCTGTGTTAACTGCGTCTACTCCTTCTTCTAATGTGCGACCGCCTTCATAACCCCAGTCGCCGTCGCCGTGCCACCAGTAGCCGCCATCATCGACATAACCCTCTGCGGTCCAGCCTTCATGGGAGTCACAGATGTTCCCATGGTC